GGTTACGAACTGGTATAAAATATCACTACAATAGTATTCGAGGCCTCTCTATGCTCGGCCCCGAACACTGGGGAGCATCACCTTCGGTTAACGACTTTAGCAAGGAAGGAAACTTTATGATTGAATGGTTCTGGCTCGATCGATAGGATTTACTATAAGGGCCAAACAGTCACATGAACCGCGCCCGCATAGACTACTCGAGCCCTGGCACAAAACTTGTACACATGTGTAACTATCGCGCATAGGAATAAAAATTTCTATCTTGCGGATAAATATCTTGTCCTTTAATAATTTCTCTTTTTTCTTTTAAGAAATTTCTTATATTCGATCCCCTAAAGGTGTCGAGCCCAAGGGCCACCTTTATTCGGGTTCAAACGATCACTCCCAATCGGAGGCTACCGTCCGAAAACAAATTCGGGCGGCTTGAATTATCAGAGCCCGGGGGCACAAGACCTATTAGGCAACGCCCGAACCTTAAAGGCTACGACCGCTTCATTCGGGGACTGTTACCTTAGGCAAGCCCAGATAACTCGAGGTAATAAGCCCATTGGGCAACACCCGAACTAAAAAGGCTATAACCATACTAAAACAGCTCGGAGATGTCCGAGACCCGTAACAAAAACAAGGCCTTAGAAAAATTTTATAACCGGTTCTAAAGGCTACCTCGGCAAACTACAATCTAAAAAGTCATAAGTACTTTGGGGAAAAACGTTTTCGATCATATCGAACCCCCATAATGCCTTAAACAAAATAATGTTGAAGGTAAGGCCTGTTCGAACCTCCGAACATGACCTAACTATTTTATGCTAATGCATTTTGACCTTTGCAAACATAAAAAATAAAGCAAAGGAAAGTAGAATATATAAACAGCCAAAGAGGAAAACAAAGCCTCATATATTATACACAATATTTACAAAGGCCAAATGGCCCTAATGAAAATACAAAAGTACACGAGTACAAAAAAGCAAAGAAGAATTTTTTTTTACAAAGGCATCTAAACAGCCTGGTCTTCTTTGCCCCCGGTTCCATCGGAACCATCGGGGTCGTCTTCTTCTTCTTCGGGGCAGGCCAATTTCTTGGCCTCGGCCTCGAGCCTGTTAGCGGTCTCGATCTCGTCCAATAGATCAAAATCCCGAGCATGAATTTCCTTGAGGGCCTCTCTTCGAGACTTCCGTTTCTCGTATTTAACGATATCTTTCAAACAGTCCTGGGCCGCCTCGGCATCATCCTTATATTGGGCCACTATCTCGTCAGCATCGGTTTTCACCACTGCCGCCACTGACTTGGCCGTTTCAAGTTCTTTAAGCATAGTTTTACGCTCGGAGGCAGCCGAATTTAACCGAGATTGGAGCTCTCCGACCTTCCTAGATTGCACCTCGGCCTTTTCCTTTGCTGCTCGAAGCTGGACCTCAGCCGAAGTTAGTTGCACCCGAGCAGCCTCCTTCTCCGAGGCCAGACGTTCCATTCTGCCCCTCCATTTGTTGGTTTCGGCCTTGACAACGTCCATTTCAACTCGAAGTTGGGCAACTTGGTCGATTTTTTGTTGGACCTGCGGATTCCAATCGTTAGTTACCGAGCCTAGCTCGTCATTGCTAACCTCAAATATCCTTACCTGCTCGGCCAGATCAGGATGCTTCTTCTGAGCCACTTCGAGCTCAGCTCGAAGGCTCTTAGACTCCCTCTCATGCTGCTCACTAGGAAGTTTGTAGGAATATCTCTTCTCAGTGAGCCCTCGGACCTTGGCCTCAAGCTATTTCATCTCATCCAGGTATCAGAGAAAAGTCTCGTGGTGATGCACCGAGGCCTACAAACATGAAGATAAAATGTTAGAGCTATCTATAAAATAGCCCAAGTACAAATTAGAAACCATTGAGGAATGTTTAAAGTTACCTGGTTTAAAGCTTGTTGCGCTTCGTTGAACATGCAGGGCGCATCCACCTCATTCATCTTGGCTTGATCATCCTCGGTCACCAGACATCGAAGATAACTAGCCACCCCTACGTGGGCGGAGAGGACCCGGGAGTCCTCCGCAAGGGAGAAAGTGATGAATCACTTCCGGCCAGGATCTGCACTCGGGGCAGGGAATCGATTGACCAGTTTGGGACTCGAGTAAGGACCGCTTGCTCCCGAAGATAGGATCTTCCTCGGTATCTCTAAATAACCTAACCCGGTGACACTCTCCGTGGCCGTAGAGTCCGCTCCATCAAAGAAGCCGCGGAAGGGATCGTTCGCTCCGAGGACTCCCTAATTGGGACGTTCTTTCACCATCTGAGCCTCATTGTACATGGACTTAGTGAATGAAGTTGATTTGGTGATCTATATCGTACCGAGAGCTTCCTTCGGCGCACTGCCCACGTCCCGGGAAACTTTAGTTTCGGCCTCTTCCTCGACCTCCCTAGCTCGATGAATATCAACATCGCCTCCTTCTAGTTCAGAGGCTCCTTGCCCTTTCTAATCGTGTCGACTCGGGACACCAGATTGAAGGTTTCCTCCTCTTGTTCTCCTTCGGATTCATCCCTCAACTGATAGAGGGAATCCAAAGGTGGTGCTCGAGCGCTGGTGCTTTCTTTGGACTTGCGCACTAACTTTCTCTTTGGTTTCTTTTTCTCCGAGCCCGGAGAACACGGAGCCCTTTTTCTCTTCTTCTCTTCGCCTTATTTCGGAGCAGGGGATTCAGTGGGAAGATCGTCATTACCAGATGGAGGTCTCATTTGGACATCCTTGGGTAAACCTACAATAATAAATAAAATAAGTGAGGACTTAGTCGTGCAAAAGGGAAACCAAAAAGTACTCGTGAAATAGATCTCACCGTGCGAACGGGCCTCCCATCGACCTTTCAAAAGCTCGCGCCACGAGGGCTCAGAATAAGGCCTTTGCGATACTATTCCCTCGACCTACTCCTTGAATCGAGGAACCGCTTTCGGGATCCGGGCAACAGCTGCACTGTCACAGAATACCGATAAGAAAGAAGGAAAAGGGGCGATAAATAAAATATTGAAAGCAAAATTAGATACTTACATTTCATATTCCACTTCTCAGGGAACGATATGTACTCAGCCGGGATCAAGTTTGAGGTCCTCACTCGGATGAAACGGCCTAGCCATCCTCGATCCCTATCTTCACCGATACTCGAGAACGCAACTTTATTAGCCCGACGGGCGAGCTTGATCAGTCATCCTCGGTAGAGTCGGGGACTGCACAAACGCATAAGGTGGTCGATTGTGAAAGGGCACTCCTCGATCTTGCTCACGAAGAAACAGAGGAGGATTAAGATCCTCCAGAAAGAATGGTGAATCTGGCCGAGGGTTACCTCATATCTCTTACAGAAGTCGATGATAATCGAGTCCAAGGGACCCAACGTAAAGGGATAAGTGTAAACACTTAAAAATCTCTCGACATGGGTGGTGATGGCCTCGTCATGTTCGGGAACCACCACATATTTGTCAGTCCAGTTACAATCCCTCTTGACTTCGGAGAGAATGTTCTCAGTTATCAAATAGATCTACCTCGATACCTCCTCACACCGGCCTGGTACGGAGGAGGGCTTTTCGATTTTAAAGTCAGCATTGACCAGGCATCCCCCTGGATGAAAATTTTTAGAGGAGGTTCCGGTGCTGGTTCCTCGACAGCTGTACGTGAAGCAGTATCTTCGGTAGCCGGCCGCGATGTGGAAGGATTATCTTTTTGAGGAATGAATTTTGAAGTCTTCACCATTCCTTTGGAAAATGAAGGAAAAAAGATGAAGTTAGAAGAGTATGTTTGATGGTTTGAGATAAAGAACAGAAGTTCCTATAAAAGAATTTCAGAATAACCAGAAAATTAATGCTTGGAAGTGTTGAAATTTCTAAGGTACGAGGGCAGAAGGTTTGAAAGTAAAGTTTGAATGAACTAATAAGGGGGTATTTATAGTTTCTTAGTGACTGTTCACATCTGGGAGTCGCCAACCAACAACTGACTGGCATTTAATGCCATTAAGACTTGACTGACGAGACGTTTCGACTGTTTTGTCATTTTTGTCACAAAATATCGAAGTCAGGATCGAAAGTTCATGTCGTTTCTCGTCGTCTACTCTCCAAAAAATGAGAGGAATATCTATATACGGTCGAAGTTGAGCTCGACTACAACTTAGTAGATTAGGCTTGGAACGTGGCGACTAAGGACTGAAGATCGACCTTGACTCCCACTGAGCTAGAATCCGAGGTCGGAAAGCCTGTCTTCGAGGAATATTAAGTCCGGTGTCGACCTTAGCCTCAGACGAGCTCGGAGAAACATTGTTGAAATAACTAAGAGAAGTTCGAAATATCCGTGACCGGTCGGATATTACGACGAAAATCTCGGCACGAATCAATAAGGAACCGGCAATCAGCGAATCAAATGATCTTTTACTTTTTATAGAATTATACCTAAAGCAAGAATCCTCTACTATATAAAAGGAGGTTTGATTATTCATAGCGGACATTGTAACACGTATCCCAAAGCAATATATTATTATTCTCTTTAAGTTCTTATTATTCTCTTGTTGTTCTGATATCGATTAAAGTATTTCTTGCTCGAGGGTGGCTAACCTTCCAAGGCTAAGGCTGTTCAATTTGTGTGGTTTGCATTTATTTTTCTATTGCTTATTTCAATTACAATCTGATTTACCATTTTGTATCAAGTTAGATCACGTGTCATTAAAATTACTTACAAATTCAATTGTTATCCGATTTCGAGGGTAAAGAAAAAGCGTAGCTACCTTATATTTTAATAAAATCAATTTTCATTTCTTAAATGTTACTTTTAGTATTGTCCTCATTCTATGCGATCAGACTTTGAATTTCCCCAGGTGCTTCTTGTACCCGAAGCCATATTTTATCAAAGAAAAAGTTAGCAGTTCCAAATCCAAGGCTTTGACTTGGTTTTGGACTCTGGACTTTCTATAAATCTCTCGCTTTCGTTCCATTAACTTCCTCTCCTTTGTTGCAGAGACAGACAAACATACCCTTAGCAAAATAAAGAGGTTAAGAATGTTGTCCTTAACTTTTAGTAGCTTAATGCTTGTTCTGCTTTTCATTTTGCTATCCATAAAAGATACTATTGCTCATACTGACAAAGGTATAATCACTCTCTTTATCCCCTTGAATGAGTGTATATAATTTCTCTTAATTATTTAAAAACTTGCTTTCTGGTGAAATCTCATTAATTATTTGTTTATATACGCACTTCTGCAGTTAAACAAAATTTTGTGGTCGATGAAGCTGGAAATGATATTGCTAAGGCAGGAAGGAACCACCTTAGTGAGGAGAAGGTATAAATTTAATATTTCTCCTTTAGTCATAATTGAGTTTAACTTATATATTGTGAAAATGTAAAAAATTATTATACTATCAGGTTTATAATATAAACTTTCAATATAAAGAATTTTACACCATTGGGTTATAGTTATATATGCTATAGCAGGTAACGTATTTTTTCAAGATTATAACTCTTGCATTTTAAAAAGGCTTAATTACATGTAAATATCTTTTTGGTGACATGATCGTGTAAATCTTTGTACTAACAGTATAACTTAAACTCATTTTTCAGATAACTTGTTTCATTTATTATAACAGTTACTTGTAATAATCTATTAAGCGATCTGAGCGTGTAAAATTGTCGAATGAAGTTAAACCCATAGTTAACTCACTACTTGTTGCCTGTCAAGACTTTAGTAATCATGTGAAAACTTACTTTTCCAATTGAGAGCTTGAATATTAAACTAATCAAGAGATTCTTGAAATTTCAGGAAGTTTTGGATGGTCATATTTCAGCATCTATTCAATTTGCCAGTGACAGAATTAGAGGAAGAAAAAGGATGTTGGAGCAAAGGAATATGAGGCAAAGTACTAAGAAAATTGAAGCCATGCCAAGTAAAGGGCAAGGAAAGCTTCGAATGCAAAATAAAGTGAGTGGCAGAAGTAGCCATTCTGATAATGTGAAGGTCAATAGAGGAAGTTTCACAGCATTCAGTGCTGATTATCACATGCCAAGAACGCACCCTCCAAAAAATAACTGAGCTACAAAATTCTTGAATTTTTGGCGTATCATGATATTCTTTACTATTTATACTGTATCTATCTAATATTGGAAAATCAAGCAAAGGTCTAATGGATTTTCAAGTTTTCATTTCCTACATGTAGTTTTCTTGTCTGGTTCCTTTCTCATTGTACTATATAGTTAATAATGTTAATGTTACAGTTCAGATTCATGTTATATATACCTTTTTCTCATGCAACAAAATCCAATGCTCAAAACATGAATTAAGACCATATATTTGTGGCTAATGTTTTAATACGGTCCAAATGGGACATTGTAATATCAACATGGTCTCAACCATGTGAATTTTTGTGAACTAAGAAGTTTCGGCCTAGATCAAGTAATTAATGCATGCTGATGTGGCAATGTGTATTCACTCTTAGCAAAAAGAATTTCACATAGTAGTGACATAACAAGAATGACCTTTTTCGTTCGAAGTTTTGGTTTTCTATTAATAATAATAAATAAATGACTCATAGCATAATCAGGTTTGCGGAATTTCTTTTACCTTTTATTTTGGAGTCTTATTTTAAACAACGAGTTTAACTTATGTGCATTAGCAATGAACTTAATTTTTGCACGGTTAAATTTTTGTCGATCTAAAACAATAGAAACTCTTCATATAACCTAATAATACAATAACCTGACAAATTAAGTAATAAGTAATACTTAGCATACATCTATAAGCTTATAATCAATTAAATTATACTGATAGTATAAATTGTTTTTATCCCATATATGTTTACAACTTATGAAAAGATTCTCCATCAACCTGCTCCAGCTCTACTATCGCTAATTAAGAAGGGATCTTTAAACAAAAAACCGGTCATATTCATTGTTTACTTTTTTTAGCTATGTATATAGATTATACATTTATTATACATAATTATACACATATAATACATAAAGTATACATATATTATACTTTCATCGGATATTTTTAATTTAAATGATTCGGTGGACTGCTATTTGAGTTAATTCTTCAATTAAAAAAAGGAAAAGAATAGACTTGCACAATTTTCAATTTTAATCCAACTTCTGATAGAATTATGTTTGGGCTTGGGCCCATTCTTATCAAAGAATTGAGGCTATGGGCCGCAAATTTCCAGCAAGTGGGAAGGATCATTATCTACATCCCTAACTGTGAAGAAAACAACACACGACGGGAACAATTCCGGCATGTTGTCGGAGATGGCGTCCGACCCGGAAGATACCGGAGCTCCGGAAATTCATCCAAACAAACGGATCAAAACCCTAACCCGAGTTTCACCTGAATCCTCGCCGTCCTCCTCCGACAAAGGCAAATCAAAGCTCGAAGCTTCGGATTGGGAAAACGAATGGAATTGCTGTGGAATTTGCTTGTCTGAAAGTGGACATGGAACGGGCACGATCATCAGAGGTTGTATCGATTGTTGCGACCATTACTTTTGTTTTGTGTGTATAATGGAGTGGTCTAAGGTTGAGTCCAGATGTCCCATGTGTAAACGCCGTTTCTCCACCATCCGCCGCCCTCCTAAACCTCCCGTTTTCCCTTCCGAACGCGTTGTGAATGTTCCTGTCCGCGATCAGGTTCTTTTCTCTGTCTTTTTATTTTGTCTTGAATTTCTGTTTATTGTTGATTGCTGAATTTGATTCTTTTTGGTGAAAGATTGTCTCTTTTTTCTTCTGAAGATTATTTTTATTGGATTGATTTCCGGATTCTGAAAATAGTGATAACTCCTGTGAGCTCAAGTTTATACTAGCTTAATTTGACTCATTGATGTAGTAAAACCATTAAGGCTCATGTCAATTTATGTTGAAATAAAATTAAAATTTGTCAATAATTCTGTTGATTGTAGTTGACATGTGAATTATATACTTATATTACATCTAAAGATAAACGAGCTTGCATCAGGATAACCTGTTGGTAGAGCTTCTTTTTAACGATGTATTAAGCCTCATTATTGCTGATTTTTAGCTCAGAGAGTTGCAAGCATTATTCTGTTTTAGTTGTATGTAATGTAATTATTTGATGAAAAGCAGATGTCCATTTGCTTTATGAAAAGCTATCCAATTGGTCTATGGGGATTGCATCATCCTGCATTTACGCTTTAGGTCTCATGAATTCTAAAACTGCTGTTTTCACATCAGGATTCATCATTAATTTCTGATTAATTTATCTTTAGCCAGTAGTCTTTCATAAAATTGGTGATCTGCTACCTTTAGTTTTTTGATGATGAAGTCATGAACATCCGAATGCACTCTGAATGATAAAACCATTATTCTTGTCTATCTTAAAAGCCTAGTATTTAAGTGGAGAAGGATGGAGGGGCGAGCCCATTATCGGCTATGCTTCAAGCCTTGCGCAATTGGCCTTCTGCGATTTCTCGGTTATAAAAAAAAAAGCGCTTCAAAAGTTTGGAGGGGAAGACTCTGTTTTTGTTGTTTCCACTTTTCTGTGGTTCATACATTTTTTGATTGTATATATTTTTAAAAATTCACTTGGTTTATGGTACCTAGACTAGACTAGGTATAATCTCTTGACTGTCTCTCATGTATTACTGGTGAAATTGCTTATGCAGGCTTACCATTACCTCGGAAATGCAACAACTGGACCACGGGATCTGTACGAAGAGGTGCAATGTAACGTGTGCCATAGCACGGCCGATGACAGTCTCTTGCTGTTGTGCGACCTTTGTGACACTGCTTATCATACTTATTGTGTTGGCCTTGGTGCCATTGTACCTGAGGGTGATTGGTTTTGCGCAGACTGCTCGCTTCTGAAGGCTGAACAGGCTCAGGGTGAGATCAAAACTGATTGTGATACTCAAGCTAGTTTCGGTGACCACCGTTTAGCAGAACCAGCAAGACATGTATCTATATATGAAATTGTACGAGAGTCATACACTCCTACTGCCTCCTTGGATGCTACAGAAAATTCATCTCGTACTGATACTGGAAGGCAAAGTACCTCTCAAAGCAGCTCGATTGGGTTGGGTTCGGTAGGACAAAATGGTGTTGTAAGACATGCCACTAAGTTCAATGCCAGAACACTGGGGCATTGCCGCAATGTCCATGATAAGATTCGCGCATTGCGTCAACATTGGAATGGTTTTCGAAGTGGATCCTTGACGTTCTCTTCTACCAAAATGAGTAATGCTATTGCTAAACAAAAACCAGTGCAGGGCAGCTGTTCGGGCTCGAGTCAACCAATGACATCGCAGTCTCTTGATCAAAATAAACTGGACAGTAAAGGGTCAATAGAGGTGGAGAAGGCGTGGAAAATGATGAATATGGCTAAGGCAATAGAGAGAGGTTGTGACAGGAATAAGAGTTTCCTTCAGGCTTCAAAACACACTGTTAAGAAGAATACTAGCTGCAAAAAAGCTGGTGAATCAAGCTCAAGGTCTGGCTCACTAAAGATCGAACAGCATCAGCGTGCGTATATTCAAAATATTGGATCAGGTAGTCATTTCCACAACCATGCTTTTAAGCTGAACAGTAAATTAGAAGGTTCTTCAGTTGTAGATAAAGGTTTTTCAATGGCATGTGGACCATCATATAGTGAACTTGTATCTTTGAAGGAGTCTCAGACTTCAGTTCAGCCAGATATCTGTCATGCAAAAAATGGACTACAACAGAAGAATAAGTCGTGTGCTGGGTCCACACACTTGATTTCTTCTGTCAGGTCGGCATCGATTTCTACCACCGTAGGTAATGACAAAGAGAACTATTCTTCCTCGAGTAGCATTGTGAATCCTCCTCAAGAGAAACTCAAGGTGGAAAAGAGTGGCATTAAGAACAGAGGTCAGGTGGAATGTGATGCCAAGACAGAGATCCAATCTCTTGTGAAGCTCAACCTAAAAATCCTATGCAGAGATAAAAAGCTCGGTACGACTTTTACTTTGACCTGTAGTTAGCTTATGCGTGCATCACTTCATTACATTTATACGGTTAGTAACTGTTGTAGTATGATGCATCTGGTCTGAGTTTGTTATTCTTTCATCTGTGCAGAAGTTGGTACATTTAAGCAAGTTGCAAGACTAGCCACTCACTCCATCTTAGCTGCGTGTGGTTTGGAGCATCGAAGACCTGGCATTTCTTACCTTCCAGAATGTGTGTGCGTCCATGCCGAGGAAGTTAGAGAACTCAGGAGATCTACTCTAATGCCTAATTCATGCCGAGAATGTTTCTTTTTATTTGTGAAGAATGTGGTTAATACTATACTGCCCGACAACAGCTGAGAATTGGTAATATATTTTTAACTAGGCCAAACAACTAGATATCGAGGATTGGTAGTTTATAACACAATTACACTTCCCTCTCTACTGCTCTAGGGGCAATATAGGCTACAATACCACTGATAGATTAGTGGTTATGCTGCGTTATCATATTATAGGATAGAACTCATTTCCTCTGTCAATTCTTATTTGATTTCCTCCAACTTTAGTGTGACGCCAATAAAAAAACGCTGTTTCTCTAGAGTGTACCACCAATTTGCTGGGTGAAATTTCATTGAACACTTTCCGAAGGAAACCCACCAATTTAACTACACTAGTATCTATAAATGTGCGTTGCACATTAATAATGACACATGATGATTTAAATATTTATTTATATGAAGGAACAATAAATTTAATTAATGAGAGAAATTTTATATATAATACTACAACATTTATCTAAATGCCGAAAAATATTGTTAGATTAACATAATACGTGAATTCAAAATGAAAGGATATCATCGTAACTTACATAAATGATCAATTTTAGTCATGTTAAGTAGATAATTATGTATTGTAGTTTAAATGTATCTAATATGATGGTATCTTATAGAGTACTTCTTTATACACAGTGTTTTTTTGTATATGTTTTCTTCTAATGCTTTGGTTACTCTGCGATAACCAGAACTCTTGTTGTCGATATTATTGATATCTCTCTTGAAAGTGCAACATATAGATATTCATATAAGAAAACATATTGTGGTAAATATAGTTCAATATTTAGGATATTTGTCCTTATGCTTTATTTATTATAACTATAAAAACATAAACATACTAAAAATTATTTTCACACAAATTTGAAAGGA